CCCCACCCCCACCCCCGTCTGCCAGCCCCTCCCATGCCCTGCTCCTGACTCACACAGGAGGCAGAGCTGATTCACCTCCAAGGAGCCTTCCCACGCCCACACCCGCACCCCTCACACCTGCCTCACAGAGGGCTTTCCTGGACAGTCCCTGCTGAGAAGCCCAGGTGGACTTCGGAGAGGGAAGTGGGGCTATCTAGAAGCTGTTCTATAAGCCTAGGAATAGGGGCAGCAGGGAACTAGGTGTCAGAAGTGAGGGACTGAGCACTGCCAGGTTCTGCCCACCTGCCCCCTTTCTCTGGGCAGTTCAATGGAAAGAGATATGGCCTCACTGTCGGGGCCCCGGGTTTGAACCCCGGTGCTGCCTTTGACTCACTGTGCAAACTTGGTTGATTTGTCTGAGCCTACACTTTTTCACCAGAAAGATCCCTTTTATTATCCCCCAGCCCTGAAAAATCAGCTTTGAAATATTGTTTCTTACCAAACTGCATCAAATAATTTATTTTCTCTTTTTATTAATCACACCCATAGCTGTCCCCTGATAGCACGATCAGCATGAGAGAACCCATGCTGTCACATTGACCTCAGATCACCCCGGATTTACTATTCGTAGTAGATTTGTGCATTCCCTCTGCTGGAGGGGTGTGGGCTGACATTATGGAGTAACTGCTGTGTGTCGGGTGCTTTCTGTATATTTTCTCATTTAATTCACACAACAATCCCAGAAACTTCGGACAATTTTACCCCCCTTGACAGAGGAGGAAATTGAGGCTCAGGGAAGTGTGCCCAAGTTCACACCACTAATAAGGGGGAGGAGGCATGGCTTAAACACAGGTTGTCACAATGTTAAACCTCTTCTACAAGCTCCAATCATGAACAACCCCCAAGGCCCTAACATTGCCATTCCTACTCAGACCAGACTCAGTTTCTCTGCCCATCCTCTCCCCACCCCCACACCCACCCCTAGTCTATTGGTCTCATTTCTCGACCTTACCCGGTGCCAGGAGCCCATCTGCTCCACCTCTCTGGTTCTGGCATCTTTTCCTTCTTTCAAATGCCCTCTGGCCTGAATTTAAAACAAGCTTGAAAGAAACCTTCCTCAGATCTCCCACCTCCCTTAGACTTCCCCTTTGCCATAAGTAACATCACCATCCACCCAATGACCCAAACCAGAAACTCAGCTGTCCTCCTAGCCTCCTGCCTCCCTCACTGCGCTCCAGGTATCTGGTCAGTCAACCTATCGTTTCCACCTTCTAAGCACCCCTCCACTCTGTCCACACTGCCTTAGGTCCCATCTGCATCATCTTGTTCCTAGACCACTGCAAACACATCTGGACTCTTCTCCTGCTTCTACCCTTGCCCCCTATTTTAACCCCTTCTCAGCTCTGCCAGCAGGGTGATCTTCCTAAAATTCAAATCTGATCATGTCACTCCCCAGATTCAAACATTTAGTGAAATACCCTAACTTTCAGGAGAAGGCTGCCTAGCATGGCCTACCTCCTTAGGCACACCAACTGTACCAATGTGCATGCCATGCTCTTCCATGCCTCCAAGCCCCTACTTATGCCATGAATTCTCCTGGAAAACCCTTCCTCAGTTGGTCCACCTGTCAACCTCCTTATCACCCTTCAAACTCAGCTCAAAGATCATCTCCTCTATGCAGCATCCCTGAATCTACTTCCCAGTCTCCCCACATTCTAGAGAATATGAGTGTGCACATGCACACACACACGTACACACACAGGTGGATGTTCCTCCTGGGTACATTAGCAGTCTCTTGCCTGTCGCCCTATAACATCATTTCTTGTGTTGAATCGTTACTATTTATTTGTGTGTCTCCCCCACTAGAACGGGCTCCTGGAAAATAGACACTAAGTATTGTTAATTCCCTGTATCTCCGGTGCCTGACACAGAGCAGGTGTTTGGTGAATGGCTGATGGAGGCATGACTGTTGTCCCTCACAGCCACTATCCTCTCTCCTCCTTTCAGTACCACACTTCCAAACACACAGTCTAAATCCTCTACCTCCGCCTCCAGAACCTTCTGAAAACTGACTTGCTACCATTCTAAGGAACCGGCTCTTTTGGATGTCACCAGAAACTTCCTTCTTACCAAATGCCAGTGTTTGGGGGAGGGGGAAATTTAGCACCTCACTCCTCGGACAGATTCTTCAGAGGAGAGGAGCCACTCCACTCCTCTAACATCCCCTACCTCCCCCAAAAAGAAGAGGTGTGACCGAAGGATAGGCTTTGCTGTGGTTTGAATATGTCCCCCAAAGTTCATGTGTTGGAAACTTAATCTGCAGTGCAACAGTGCTGAGAGGTTGGGTTTACTACGAGGTGATTAGGTCATAGTAGAGTGGAATAACATCACTGTCATGAGAGTGGGTTTGTTGTAAGAGTGAGTTTGGTCCCCTCTTGCTTTCTCTCTCTTGCACGTGTGCTCTCTTGTCCTTCCACCTTCTGCCATGGGATGACAGAGCAAGAAGGTCCTTGCCAGATGAAGGCCCCTCGACCTCGGATTTCCCAGCTTCTAGAACTGTAAGAAATACATCTCTGTTCTTTATAAATTACCCAGTGTCAAGTATTCTGTTATAGCAACACAGAATGGACTAAGGCTCTGAGCCTGCGTCATTCCTCAGGGTGATCTGGTCAGGAACAAACCACTCCTGTGTGCCCACCGTCCGACCCCCTCCACCACCTTTTGTGTGCTCATGAAAGCAGATTAGAAGGAGCACAGCCACTCTCTGGACCACTCCCCTGCACCGTTGGATCTCAGGGTTGGAAACTTGCCTTCCCAACCCACAACCCCTTACAGAAAGTCAGTACGCAGAGGCCCATAGTCCCTGAGTTCTGATGCCTGATGCCTGACTCAAGAGCCCAGAAGCTTCCACCTGGCCTGCCAACTCCTCACGGTCTCCCACAGCCAGAGACTGGCTGCTGTCCTAGCAAGGCCTGGGAGTCAGGTAGACTTGCGTCTGAAACCAGCCTCCACCATTTGCCAGAAAAGAGGGCCAAGAAAGGACAATATCATTTGG